TTTACCAGCCATTTAGCTTTGCCTAATTTTACTTCTACACTAATATCTTCCGAGTGTTCAAATTGTAACTCGGTCCTCTGCCGAGATGGAATGTCAGATCTAATATAGGGCCTACATAAGTATTCCACCACCATATCCTGTCCTGTCAGATCTATATAATTTATATCCGTCTACCTCAAATTGGGCGTTGGGAAACGACGCATCCAGCTTGGTTTCCTGAATAGTCAAAATGTCAACTAGGTTATCATACAACATTTCATGTAGCGCTATGTATTTGTATCTGACACTGTTTATGTTTATGTGCGCCATAATAATGTTCTTGTTGTGTTTCGCTCTCGTCTCTCGGAGTTCACGAAATAGCATGTCCTCGTCTCGTGATCCGTTGTTTATCATCGATGTATCATGCGTAGGATTTTCGAAGAACGAGTCTGTGAAGCTTGGCAGCAGGCAGGTGTGGCAGTACCAGTCCTCGTTCTCGTTTGTTGCCAAGTGATCATATTCTGTTGTCGTGACACGTGAACCTAGCTTGCAGGGAACACCGGACATTGTGTTTCTGACAGAATTCTCTCAGATACATGTACGTGTATATATTCGCCGCAAAACTCGTCATTTTAACAGATACTGGTCATATATGCAACCCAGGATATGGCCGCCTGACACATTAGCAAATATTCTAGAATTTTATATTTGTTCCTCAGGCTAAAATGCGGGTTCGCGCATGTGCAGTAATTCACTGAATAACTGATATTTTGATTCAAAAACTCCTAACTACAGACAACTTAGGCGGGCCTGTCCAACCGGAACCTATGGAACAGGCCAGTTTGGAACTTGAACCAGGGACCACAGCACCGGCAGCAACCGATCAAACTAACAGGCCTAATCCTAGGCCCAGACCGAATGACCACGATAAAACTGCAGCACAGCAAGGAAATCTCGATATAGGTGTACTGTGTGGAGAAATAACTGACCAACAGCGTCATACAATATTGACAGGCAAGTGGGTAATTCCAAAAGGTTACACGTTTCCTACAAGACATATTTCAGGGAAAACAGAAAGTTCAACGCCTCCTGGTTGAATGAACTGTAACATGTCTTTTGCACGTGTTACATGAAGTAGTCAGCGAGGCTATAGACTAGGGTTGTTTGGTGACCAGTTAGTCTGCGTTGACGCAGCGTCGCACATATTGGGCGGCTACATTGATGTATTAGGGAGAATGGTAGACGTGGTTAGGTTAGACAGATTAGAAGGTCATTGTGAAATGGGGGGTAGGACGCGGTCTGTGAGAACGGTTACATGTGCGGGCAGTATGTTTGTAGGAGTTTTGGGGGGTAATAGATAGGACAGAGATGTAGAAAGATGATTCTGGTTCTGGTTGCGGAAGGAGGCACACGCGCGTATGTGCGTGTGCGCGTTCTTTGTCTCTCTGTGAAAGTTGTGGCTACACTGTGCAAGCTATTAAAGTTTATTCCGGTTACACACATGTTCGACTTTATATCTTTATTCCTCGTTACAGAAAAACCATGGCTAAGGTACCCTGCTAGTAAAGACGGTGTTCACTGTTGTTACTGTCGTTTATTCGGTACCGGCGGTAGTGGTGAAGCGGGTCATTTCGGATCACAGCCTGTGAGTGACTGGAAAAACATTTCTGTTATGATTAAGAGGCACCTAAAATGTAAGGCCCATCTAACAAACACTGTCAAAGCAGAGAGTTTCCTGTCTGTATCACTTGGTAAACAAAAAGATGTACGTAGTCAGTTGTCATCAGCTTTTTCAAAGCAAATAGAACGTAACCATAAAATCATATCTAGCATACTCGATGTAATCATTCTTTGTGGTAAACAGAACATACCATTAAGAGGTAGAACTGAAGACAGAAGCAATTTTATGGCTCTGATCAATTTCCATGCTAATGCTAACCCTGTACTTGAACAGCATCTTGCCAATGCACCCAACAATGCTAAATATCTGTCACCACATATACAAAATGAATTGATTGAGCTTTGTGGAGAACAGATAAGGGATACCATTGTAAAAGATTGTAATGATTCTCTTTGCTTCGGCTTGATGGCTGATGAGGCTACCGATTGTGCAACACTTGAGCAAGTTGCAATGTGTGTTAGATTTGTACAAAGGAAAACAAACGATATCACAGTACGTGAGGAGTTTCTTGGCTTCAAAGATGCGTGTTCAACTACAGGTGAAGCCTTAGCAAACCAGTTCTGCCAAACACTAGATGAGTGTGGCATCAATGCCAATAAGATGAGAGCCCAATGCTATGATGGGGCCTTTAATATGAGTGGAAAGTATAAAGGAGTAAGGCAAGAATAAGAGAAATTTATCCAGATGTCCCTTATATCCATTGTCAGGCTCATTGCCTAAATTTGGCTATAGTTTATGCCTGTAGTGATCCCCTCATTAGAAATATGATGGGCACTGTTCAGGAAATTGCATTTGCATTTTCCTACTCTGCTAAACGCCAGTATCACTTTAAACTTGCCATGATGGAGAGCGAAACCGCCCAAGAAAAGATGAAGAAAAGGGATAAACTTAGAACCCTCTGCGAAACTAAATGGAGCAGTCGACCTGATGCATTGTTCACTTATAAATCATCATTTGACGTCGTTGTTGATGATTTGGCCGAACTAGATTCTACGAGGTGCGAGGTTTATCTAGAGAAAAGGAGATTATTAATGCCGCCTCTAGTTCTCTAGATGTTAGTGTTTCTAGTCACCAGTATTTTCCGTACATAATCTAACTGTGGTTTCAATAACCTGTGGTTGTCTCCTGTCGAGTTTTCTATTCGTTGTCTCTCCTTATATTTATTATAGCTATTCGATTTATATAAATGTTGCATGCATGTTCCATGTTCCAAGAAACGGTATTGCTAGGGTTACTTGTAATACTCCTATATAAGACAACCCCTGCTTATATAGCAAGCAATTTACTCTACCTAGTTTCTGATACTGCCAATGACAATGGCAGTGGAAGATTATAGTGGTAGGGGTGCATTAGTCGGAGCCGACGCAGACCCCAGTAATGGGGGTGATGATAAACTCGCACCTTCATATTAGCAAAGCGGAATTATAACGTCTGCATTTGCGGACTAGGGGTGCATATGATATAAGGCAAGGTCACATAGATGATAGAGATGGCAGATAATGTGTTAATTGTTTATATATAGAAAAAGAAGCTCTCAGGAAATGATTACATACTATATATAATGCTAATGAAGTAAGCTGTATTGAAATGCTGCACTTTCGCCTTACTGCTGTCATCGAAAATCGAAAATCAAAATACTAACTCGTCGTACACTCAGGATACCACTGCCACAATGCTAACAGTATTTTTAAAGTGGGCGGAGCTCCGGGGAAATGCAGCGAATGGCGATTCTTAAACAGCGTATGATTTGAAAGAGGTAACTGGTCTGTGTGCCCCACAACATTTCAAATGAAAAATAAAAAAACGCGACTAATTTTATTATTCAAATTAGCATGAAAAAAAAACTTTGATCCATACTTAAGAGATTATATAAATATGGATATGTAAATAGATACATGTATGCAGCTAAAAGAAAGAGAATTACACGATATAATAATTTTTCACGTGACGTCACGAGTCACGTGCTAGCTAATCGCAGCCTATTCTACCAATTATAATAATTCTTGTTACCATTCTTATGAAAACAAACTGATGAATGAACACAACTTGATTGAACTACATGAAAGATTAAATATATATTTATAAGGCATATAGGTAAATATTGCATATAGGTATAGCATATAGCATACATAGGCCTACATATAGCATATATGATAGATGAAAGATTATATATATATACTAGCTGGGCTACCCGGCGATACCCGGGATAAAGGAGAAAAGAGCTGGAATTTAGTCTGCCATCACGGCTGTACATCCATCCCTCTCCCTCCCTTTCCCTTTTTACCCCTTCTCCTCTCCCGGCCCCCTCCCTCCCCCCTCCCTTTTTCTCTTTTCCCCCCTTATTTTTCCCCTTATAACATACATAAATCTACTACATGAATGGGGGAATCTGTCGAAACTCGTTCGAAAATGTAACGCTCTTTCGCAGGGGCGCCACCGTTCAATGAGATTTTATGCATTGGATTGAATTTTTTTTTTCTTGTATGCCCCTCTCGGGTCATGGAAGAAAGACATAGTTACATAATAAACATAGGAATCATATGAGAACATGAGAATTTGAGAACATTTGACAAAGAATTAAAGAAACGGTAAAATTTAATAAATAACTATAGCACCCGGTGTGACATGACATCATAGATAGTTAAGGTACATATACTCTCGTTTTTTGTGGTTTTTTTTTGCAGATTTTGTTGGCTTAATTTGCAAATTTTGTTGGCTTAAAATGGTTGTCGCGTCATGCTGATTCAGAATATATATGGTGTTGGGGTCACCTGTTACGGGTCTCGAGAAGATAGACGGACAGAGTGACAGACAGATTCCCCCATTTATGTAGTAGATTTATAAATTATTTAGTTATTAGTCTTATAAATATAACTAAGCCTGGCCAAGGCATATAATATTTATAATAGCCATTATTATAGGTAAATATAACCCCCTCCAGTTTCTTGGAGCTAAGGTAAATATAGCATATAGTATTACTAGTATAGCATATAGTATTTCTAGTATAGCATATATAAAGGTAATATAGGTAAAATAGGTAATATAGGTAATATAGGTAATATAGGTAATATAGGTAATATAGGTAATATGGGTAATATAGGTAATATAGGTGCGGGCGGACAGCTGGGAACTTTGCCACATCCGGGACTTTCTTAACCTAGCAACCAGCTGTGCCGGTGAAAACAACAACCTGTCTCCGTGAGCTTACACACGCAATACCCCATTTCCAAACCAAAAGCATACTAATTCAGGGCCGTACGCAGCAGGCGGGCAGCAGGGGCAGTTGCCCCCCTAGAGATTTTCAGAGTATGCATTTTAATGGGACAAATACTGTACACTTTTAGAAATAAAATAGAAATGTGATTGACATGACCTGGATGTCTTCATCGTGGGCCTCCATCTCCCATAATTTGTCGATCTGACGCTCCACACCGATACAATGGGAAACCACAGGCCGGTTTCGCCTGCCCCTTGCAGGACCACTCAGTGACCAACCCAACTGGGTTCGGGTTGCGAACGGCTCAGAGGGTTTATCACTAGATGCAACCTCCAGTGGCATAAGCAGGTGAGCGTTATCCATGCCAATGAGCACTTCAGCTTGAACACCACCAGTGGGGTGTGGAATGGGCAAGTCCTTTAGATAAGGGTACCTTTGTATATCGATGGGCTCTCTTGGGTGTGTAGCAGGAATGTTGGGAACTACCATAGCATTCTTTAATGCTATCACCTGACCTTCTGAGGACGTGATGTCTACTGATACCAAGGTAGATTTAACATCTCGGCTGCTCCCTAAAGTGCTCAGGTGGCAGCTTACACCGGAGCCCTTGAGCCGCAAGCCTTGGGTTAATTTGGCTGAAACAAAACTATCAGTAGACCCGGAGTCAAGAAGGGCCCAAGTACAAACCTTGTCATTGACAATCACTGGCACCATAGGTATGTATACACTCACACCAGTACCCCCACATACGTTACTGACCACCTTGTTGGCAACACTATCATTCCCCACATCTGAACAAATATCAGTGCTGCAGTGCAAGTGCAGAAGCTTTGAGTGCTTCCTTTTGCACCCATGAACTTGACACGTGGGTGTCATCTTACACGCCGGTGCCCTATGTTTGGGCGAGAAGCATACAAAACACGATCTATTTTTCACAACCAAGTCAAATCTCATTCTTGGTGTCAACCTCTTAAAGTCTTCACACTGGTGCAGCCGGTGAGATGTGTACTCACAGGAGACGCAAGGTGAGGGCGATGGCCCTGCTCCAGTTACCTCGGCCTGCACCACTAGTGACCTTCTATTGTTCTGACTAGAATTTACTTTACTACCCACTCGTCTAGGAATTTGGTAACCTGACTTGTCCCCATACACAGGGTCATTCATCTCGAGGGCGACACGCCTCATAAAGTCCGCAAAGTCATTAAAAACTGGATAGTCATCAGTCTCTAGCTTCATTTGCAAGGCCTTCCTGCGCCACTGGGCTTTAATGAAAGTAGGGCAGCGCTGAATTATTTCCAGCATGCCCTTCTGAGAGTCTATCTCTGATAGCATTCCCAGCCTCTTCAGAGCTACTCCGGCTGACACGATCTCGTCTGCCAACTGCTGGATTTCTGACGCTGTGGACAAGGTACGATCACTGGTCAGGCTTCTGATGATGCTTTGTGAGATGAGGTGGGGGTTGCCAAACCGTCGTGCGAGGATGTCTCGGGCTTGCTTGTAGCCGGTGGCTCCTCCTATCAGTGCACAATTCCGAATAGCATCTTTAGCAGGCCCTCCATTGTACTGAAGCAGCCTCGTCAGTCTGGCTTGACCATCGGAGCATTTATTATGCACTGCCTCGTCAACTATCGCCATAAATGTCTGATACTGCAGCGGATCCCCAGTGAACACCTCTATCTCCACCTTGGGAATGCTAATCAGGTTAAGCAGACTTTGCTTGTCATGTTCACCTCCTTCTTCTTCCTCAGATTGTGGTGGTGTTTGCTCCCTCAGCCAAGCGCGAGCAGATTTGACACCCGCAACATATCTTGACTGAATGTCATCAAGCCAGGATTGGCTTTCCTCCTGAGTACCCTCCTCTTCTAACGTGTCGTGATAATCATAATGTGCAGCCTCCAGTTCATCGAAAGCCACACTCAGCCTTTCTAGACGTGAGGTAACAGCGCTGATGCTTCCCTCATCCACGTTACGTGCTAGAGAGTTCAAGTGCCTGACGACTACACTCTTCCGCTGGCCGCGAAGCTTGACTGGGTCCGCCATGCTGTAGACGACTCCTGTACAATACTGTCAACAGTCCGCTCACTGTTGGTGTAGTTCATTCACTGTTGTGTACGGAATGAGAAAGAACGCTTCTGTTGCTTCTTAATCTTTATTGCATCTGTCATTACGCATACAGCGATGCTACGCATATGGTGAATCTAAAACATACAAGGCGGGGGCGGCGGGGGGGGGGGGGGGGTTTACCACACTGAGACTTGCGCATACAATAGCAGCTCTGTAATTACACCACTACAAATAATTGTTAAACACTAATAAAATACATATTGGCCCATTCGGCTATAATTGTAGAAAACAACTAGCAACTTACGAACTGTGCACCCGCATTCCATACGCAGGTATCAAGGCCTGACTGTGACTCGACAGAGAACGCGACACGTTGGCCCCATATACAAATAAAACTACACAATATAGTTTCTATCCGATTTGTACTTGAATAGCTTACAAATTATAGGTAACACCTAAATTATATACACTCATGTAAATAGTCACAAACATCCTTAATTTATGGCCTAAATTCCTACCAAAGCTCAACACTTAAAAATCCTAATGACAGAATGGCCCACACACAAAGGCTGTCAACTATACCAGCATCAAACCACCCTTAACTCACACATCATCCACTATTTAACACGCAGGCAGATTCCTACATATCCTATAACACCTTAGAAACGATTTTAATACTAGACTGGAGCATAATATTTGCTTTAAACACACAAGAACGAAAAAAATTTACCATCATCGATGAAAGCACATGTTTCTTCTCTCCTGCAATCCTGCGATCTTCTCTCGATTAACACCTAATCCACCCGGTGGCAGCACCGACCAGTCCTGGCTAGGAACCCCATAGGTGGAGCCACTGTATCATAAGCTGCTCGGTACAGGTCAAATTAACATTTAGATCGCTAAATTATTAGAGATTCCAACTACTATTACCGGCAGGCTAAACTGGCGGTAACAAAATTCTTTAAATAAACTGGGGACTGTCCGTGAATAATTTTAAAAGTCTCTGTGGCAATGTTTCGGAGACGCCCAATGTGCAGGGAACATTTTTTATTTTTATGTAAAAGCTTCTCATATGAGCTGTCATGTTCCTGATATACAAATTTTAATGCCCTACAGTGGAGTCTTTCCAGCTTGTCTGTGTTTGCTTTTGTACAAAAATGCCATGTCAAAGGACAAAAATTAAAATTTGACATGATAAAAGCATGATACACAGTCTTCCGTCCTTCTAATGTTAAAAACTTCCCTATACGCTTCAGAACATTAATTTGCTGTGAGGCCTTTTTGCACATTTTACCAACATGTTTGTCAAAATTTAATAAATAATCTATTTCCACTCCTAGTAAAATGACAGATTCCTCACATGGTATACTATTGTTGGCTACATAAAATACTGGTTTCTTTTCGAATGTCCGTTTCCCGACACCCAGAGCTTGGAATTTCTCTGGATTTGCTTCCATCTGTTTGTCGGAGAACCATTCGACTAGTGACACGCTTTCAGCTTCGAGAGTTTGTTTCAGCTGCTCGAACTCCGGATGGCAATATGAAAGGGTATTGTCATCGGCATAATTAACGAGGCGTGTTTTGTTTACAAAATAGAATATATCATTTATAAAAATATTAAAAATTATGGGTCCCAAAATCGAACCCTGTGGTACGCCCTTTGTGATATTTAGAAAAGTACTCGTACTGCTTCCGAGCTGCACACATTGCTCGCGGTTTGAGAGATAGCTTCCCATTAGTGTTACAGCACCTTCCGACAAACCGTAAGCTTTGAATTTTCCCAGGATCAAATCGTGCGGCAGACAGTCGAACGCTTTCGATAAATCCATTAAAATAGCAGCTACATAGTCATTTCTATCCAATGCTGCCCGCCACTCCTCGGTGAGAGCCAACATAGTTGATTGACAACTATAGCCAGGTTGAAAAGCGGACAGCATTGGATTGAAAATGTCTTTAAAAAATACAGCCATCTGCTCAGATATGGCCCTTTCAAAAATT